CCACGAAAGGGTTGCTATGAAACAGTAAGATGGGCCACTCCCTGCCCTTCGTGGGCCTGTGATGGGACAGCTTCCTCTTGCACTCATGCCCTTGCCACTGTGATTCAACCACCATAGAACGTAATGCACACACACAAACAAAAGCATACAACTGGGAAGCCTAAGGAAGATGGCTCAGCTGTATGCATCAATATCCTGGTTTCCTGATTATACTACAGTTTCTCAAAGAGTCACCATGGGGGAACAAAGTGAATGATGGTGCTGATTTTTTTCTTACAACTGTATATTAATATTCAAATATCTTAATAAAATTTTCAACTGAGAAAAGATGAATTACTGAGGCACAAAGATGAAAGAATACTAAAGCCAGATTGCTACATACAAAAAAGGCAGTATAATTTATTATTCCAATTATTATATTCTGGAAAAGGTAAAACTGTAAAAAGAGTTTAAAAAATGGTTGCCAAGTGATCAGAGCAGGGAGGACAGTGAGTTGGTGCACAGGGGATTTTTATCAGTGAAACTATTTGGTGTGATACTGTAATGATGGATGAATGACATTATGCATCTGTCTAAACACATACAACTCTACTATTAAAGGGTGAATCCTGATGCAAATTATGGGCTTTAGCTAACAATAATGCACAACACTGGTTCGTGAATTGTAACATGTTTCACACTGACATGAGATGCTAATTGGAGGGGAAACAGGGAAGGAATGAATAATGCTAAGTCTCTGGACTTGCTGTGCAATTCTGTAAATCTAGCACTGTAAGTCTGCAGGAAAGGTCTGGTTGTACCTGCTGACTGATGCACCTCAGTATAGGGGGTCAGGGCAGTGGGTTTTCTCTTGAGGAAAGCTAGTGTGTGCTGTTCCTCTGAGATCACTCGGTGCCTCAAGAACAAGACCCCTCTCCCCCTTGGGCCTCCAGGAGAGGAGTGTGACAGCTACAGGAAAGGGGGGAGGAGCCCTGGGATCTGTCAGCAGACATTCCCAAGCCATCAGGTTTTGCCCTGTGCTTTACTGCCATCCTCTATTTAACAAGGTGTTCCTGCATCTAAAACTTCTGTTTCTCTTGTCAGTAGATTAACAGTTACGTGAATAGCTAGGGTAACAATCTGGGAGAGCTGGTTCTCAGTTCTCATGAGCTGGGATGAGAGGAAAAGCAGGTTCCTTCTCATTATCAGGGTCTTGATAAGTAGTTCAGGCTACTTTGAACTCACTCACTGTGTAGCCCAGGCTGGCCTTGAGCCTCACGGTGATTCTCCTCCTTCAGTCTCCTGAGCGCTGGGATTCTAAGTGTGCACCATCAAACCCAGCTCTTTAACTTTGTAAAAATGATCACATTGATCACTAGCAGGCATGTTCTGTTTCCTGCTTCTCACGAATCACTCAGCTTTACTGTATGATAGCCACTACTTTTATTTTTGAAAACCACTATTTAGTGTATTTCGTTTAGTTTTGGGCTGTCTCAAGCAGGAGGGTAAGTCCAGTCTCTTTTATTCCATTGTGGCTAGAGGGGGAATGATTCCATTCTTGGTTTTTATTCATTCAAGAAAGATTTACTGAGGGCTTATACACCGGGCACTTCTGGGCTTGGTGAGCGACACGTGGAATGAGGCAAGCATAGTCGTCTCTCTCAAGGGCTGTATGTTCTAATACGAAATAAAAATAGGTGAAGTGAGCAGACTTAACTATTTCCTAGAACTCCATCATGGCCTTCTGTCCTTCCTCCTTCTTGCACTTCCTCACAAAGTGGATATAGTTCAAGAATTTAACTACCATGTTGATGCTGATGACCCCAGGTAGAGATCCCCCTTCCTGCTTTTCACAATTCCAGTCTAGAGTCTCCGCTTTCCGTCAGCCACATGAACCTGAGGCTGGGAGACCACGTAAGCTCTCTGAGTGCCCCCGGCATTGCTGTGTGCCCCCACAACAACTGAAGTCCAGTGGATTCTTCCATCCAAGTCATTTCAAAATCTGTCATCTCTTCTGCATTCTTTGTAACCCAACTAACACACTCTGAGTACCAATTACCTCCTGTCACCATGTATATGGCCTTCAGTCCTGATTCCTTCCCATTTCCTCTGTATCGCACTCTGATCTTTCTAAAAAGAAACCTAATTGCATCATTTCTTTGCTCAAAAATCTTGATGACAACTTATTGATTTTTAGAATAAAATCAAAAGTCTTTACCACGGTTTACAAAGCAATTAAGGACATAGTCCATGCCTATCTCTGAAATTCCAGTTCAGTGAGCCCCGTTATTCCTGTCTTACGTTCTGAGCATATGCAAACAGCTGCAGCTCCCCAAATGTTCCATGTTTTTACCTCGACGCCTTTTTATATAAAGAGCTTTTTGTGCTTAGAATAATTTTATCTCCTTTCTTTTCCTGATTCCTTTATGCTCTTTAAGATTCAACTCAGATATTTTTTCCCCCAGGAAATCTTTTCAAATTCTCTGGTCTGTTTCAGATACTTAATTTTTCTAGTATTCCTTTGGCTATATATATTCAAAAATCCAACTCAATCTAAGTTATTCAAAAAAGATAATTATTGTAAAGGTACTAGCATGTTTCAAGGTCTCTAGCAAGCAAATGCAGGTAAGCCTTAAAAATTGGAAGAAGGAACTCAAATGCTGTCAGGATTTTCTCCACATGCTGTCTCCTCTGCTGGCTCCTGAGTCCTGAATCCTCTTTGTACACCTTCTCCAAGCACTTCTTGTGTTGGTGTTCTCTTTTTCATCAATTGATCTCTCTTTCCCTCCCTCTCCTGCCCCTCTTCCCCTGAGTGGAAACTAACCTCAGGGTCTCATGTGTGCTAGGTAACCATCCTACCACTCAGCTGTATCCCATGTCTGTCTGCCTGTCTGTCTGTCTTTCCCTCCCTCCTTCCTTCTCTCTCTCTTAATTTTATTTTGAGACAAGGTCTTGCTAAATTGCACAGACTAACCTCAAGCTTGGCTGGGATTGTAAGTGTATACTGCCACACCTGGCTTTCCTGGCTCTCGTGAGGTAAGAACTATCTTTTTCATCTACATACGAGTAGGTAATGGATAGATATGGATGATTAACTCTTTGAAAAGTACAGACTGAATCAAGTGAAAAAAGCTTAAATAATGTAATAATAGCAGAGAACATGAATTAGGAAATGGGAAACTGGTGGTTTTCCAGATTCTGCAGTAATGATAGACTGGGCTTTTAATTTCTCTACCTTTCAGGTTCCTCCTTTGTCAGCAGAAACCTGTAAGGTACCCTCCTACCTCATGAAATCACTGTGAAAATACCTTGAAAAATATAGAAGTCTCTGTAAGGCAAATAGCATAGTCTCTGGATTAGTGGGGAGTTAATAGCCCCTGAAACTAGAAACTGATAAAACAGTTAATAACAAATGCTATTATAACTCAAGGAAAAAGATTTTCAGTTATCAAAATGCTTTAGACAAATCACATCTTTTTCCAAGGGAAAAATACTAGTGTATTATAATGTGTGATTAAAGCACACCACAAAGCAAAACGTATACAATGAGACACAACTGCCTTGGTTTCTTTCCTCTCATTGCTCAGACAAAACACCTGACACCTAAAATGAAAAGTTTATTTAGCTCACGGTTTGTGCCGGTTTCAGTCCATAATCAGCTGGCTCCAAGGAAGGATGGCAGAGCACAGTGGCGATACTTCAGGACAGCAAAAGCAGCAAGAGCAAAAAGAGGGGAGCACGAGAGGACTCTCTCTGTCCCCGAGAGTGTACCAAGGTGGGTGTAGCACAAACACCCGTAACCTCAGCATTACACAATGAATCAATCACAAACTCTAGATCCGCCCACCTCCCAAAAGCCTACCCTCCATGACCACATGAGGCTTTGATGGGACCCCCAGGCACAAACCCTACAACATACTGCAGCTTTGACTTATTTTTGTTTTTTGAGGCATGGTCTAAGTAGCCCACCTTGTCCTTTAACTCACAGTGATTCTCCTGTCTCGGCCTCCTAAGTGTGCCATCACACCTGGCTAACTTTCTGCTTTCAGAGTTTCAATTCTTCTAATTTACCTAGTAAAGTATTCCTGAGCTATGGAGATAATGCTTTATATCCGATTAAAATGTTACAACTAATGCATTTTAAAAGGACTATGAGAAGCAGCCTATATGGAGGAATTGTTCCACACATGCTAGTTGCCCAAATGTGTGTGTAAGCACACCTACTGACAGTGTGGTGACAGACACCACCAGGTGCAGAGCTTGTACCATGAAAGGCCCAGGAGTGTCTCACCATGGGGATGTAGCACTTAGGGAATCCTAAAGGAGATCTGGTAGGGACATTTGCCTGCATAAAAATCATCTGAAAGTTATAACAATCGAGGGCATCATAATAAATACTGTTTTTTTTATGTCTCCATAATGCATACAGCGAGGAAAAACAAAATGGATTCTATGTATAACTTCTGCTGTTTCCTCAAGAACACACTCAGGTTTTTCTAAAAATATATCTTAGTGTATTTTTAGTGTTCTCTTTTTGATGAAATTGGGGTGGCTCAGGCCTTTTTGCTGAAGAACATAGCAGAGATGATATTTCCTATAAAAACTTGGGACAAAAACCCACCAGGAATTTAGAGCTAAAAATGAATCTTGAACATAAAAACAGTTTTAGAATGAGAAAACCTGATTAACAACCAATAACTACAAAATGCCTATATTAATTTTTAGGTTTATTTTTTGATCTTAAAAGTGTTATCTGCTGGAATAAATGATAATTTTCTAGCAAAAGACAATACTAGGAAGCTCACGTATCTGAATACTATACATTGTAAATGGACGTTACAAGCTTGTGTCAGGCAAATTCATGCCAAACAAAAGATTCAAGGATTAAGGTATAAATTAGATACTTAGCAAAATGTCCCAAGGTAGCTGCATTTTGTCTGAGATCCATTTAATCATCAACCCAATTACTAGTAAAATATTAGCTGAAATCAACACGTAGCCCCCTTACTCCTTTAGCTCACCTGTAAGATTCTTTGCAAGATTGATGGAAGGGCAATAAAGGCCGCCATGCTGTTGAGAACTTGCATAGTCAAAGATTTTAGAGCTGTTGCAACAAAATGTTAACATTAACATTAGTTTAAAATACAGGTTTTCAGTTTTTCCTTTAAGTGGAGAAAACAGTGGACTTAGTTACCTTCTTAGACACTAAGGTAATCAAAGCCAGTTTGATATTTTAAAATTAACTGTTGATAAGCTGCAAAAACAGTATTTTTCAGGATAAATTACACATGTGATAAAATAACAAAAAGAATTAAACCTGAAGGATGAGATTGACACTATAATATAGTTTCATTAAAGAAAATAATGTGCTATTGGGAAAAATCCAAGAATGACAGGTCTGATGTCACGCAGTTCCGGGGAACTTACCTTCGGAGTGCAGGAGAGGTGCTGCTGCCCCGGACAGCTTCTGAGGGGCCATCATGGCCTCCAGTAATGGAAACCAGAGTGCCTGTGATGTCGGACACAACCAAAGAGAAACCAAAATTCTCTGTTACTGTTTGATCAGCATGGAGTTTTACAGCTTGAAATGGATTTCTGATGTATATCTCTTGGTAAAACTTCTACGAGAAGAAAGGAGGGACTATTCGATAGAGAAAAGACAATAAAAAGTAAAGACACAATTATAATTCCAGCTACTTAGGGGAAGGAGGCAGGAGATTACAAGTTCAAGGTCAGCCTGGGCAACAGTGAGACCCTGTCTCACGGTAAGGTAAAGAGGATTAAAGGTGTGGGTCAGTAGTACAGAACCTGCCTAGCATGCACAAAAGCACTGAAGTTTATCCTTAATACTGGGAGTGGGAGTGGGGATTGAGAACACAGCTAAAAGAGACATCTTAACTGTAAAGCCTTAGGAAACAGAAGACTTGGGACTATAATGCTGTGTGTCTTTAGAGAAAGGAGGTTCAAAAAAGTCAGGAAAACTTTCTGCTAGTTTCTTACCTACTCTGGTATAAATATATATTGACAAAGTCTAAATAACCTCATATACTGATAAAAGGACTAAATAACCCCACAGCTATCCCTCTATTTTTTCCTTAGCAATATTAAACAAGATAAATAAATGAAAGTGATCTGAAGATTTTTCCTATATCAAGAATTATTTTGTATTTCCAAAGTCACCACAGATCAGGAAGTGAAAGAGAATTTCAATTAACATTATTAACTTCACCAACAGATCTACCTTTTGTTTTGAGACACAGTCTTGCTGTGTAGTCTGGGCTTGCTATGTAGTTCAGAACTTACTATTAGCCTGGCCTCGAACTCATGGTGATTCTCCTGCCTCAGACTCCAGAGTACTGGGAGTATACACATGTACCACCATGCCCAGAGTGAGATCTACCATTTATATTATGTTAGGTGCTACATTAAATGTCTTACATATATTTTTTCATTTCAATCTTGTGATAACCTTATAGAGTAGATATTATTGCACTTGCGGTGAGAAACTGAAGTTTAGAGAAATTCAGGAATTTGCCAAAGATCACACTGCAGTAAATCAGTTGTCTCACTAAATTCAGTGTTCTTCCTAAGTGCTCTGAAAAAATCTTTGCTGTAAAAATGGAGCCAAAACACTTAAACGGTGTAAATCATCTTGGGATGCTGCAACACTCAGGAGACATGAAAAAATGTCAGCAAAGACAGGGCAGGGCCAGAGCGGTCATTTTCAGATGGGGGTACATACTGTGCCCACCACCCCCTTGCGTGTAGCAATGAGGATACGGAAGTGGCTTAAGGCCAAGCCAGGCTAAGGGTCCCCAGGGCTGACTACTGGGTGTCTCACGCTGCAGAACTCTGCCAGGTTGCCCCACCTGAGGTGAGGGCCAAGATTTTATGCTGCTAACTTTTCATTGCATTGTTTTAGGTTCTTAAAATACTTGCTTTAACTGAGTTATGTCCTCACCAATTCCTTATTTTAATGAAATTTCCATTTATTTTCACCAGTACTCACGAACTCATAATCCTGCACATTAGTCTTAGTTTCACCTAACTGACTTTTTAGTTGCCTACTTCAACTTGTTTTTACAACCGCATCATTTATTTCGGTGTATTTTATGGTCTGCTGTGAGTTAGTTATGTGGTACACCTAATTTTTATCGTTTGGTTTTTAAGTTTGGATAGAAATCTGACTTTTAAATTTTGTTCAATTCAGACAGTTCAACATCACCTCTAAATTGCAGGGTTTATTCTTTTTCTAAGGGGCAGAGAGAAAAGTAGGGTGTAATGGTAAAAGCTCTAGGGTGTGTTTAGACCCTAAGTAGGGGAGTTTCTCTTTCACTAAATTTCCACATTAACCCTCAATATATGGTAGAGCCCTTTAAGTATTTTAAATTCTCCTATTTAATGTTGATTCTTAACATTTTACCTGGGAAGACTCTAAAAGCCCACAGATTAAGACAACCTTCCTTACTAGCAATCCTGCCTCCTCAGAGAACAGCACCCCTGAACCTGACTTACTTTCTCCTAATACACAGCAAACAACTTTCTTTTCAAGGAATTCCATCCATAAAAAAGCCTTCGTCCTTGTTACGTGTAATCCCCAGTAGCAACACAAACAGCTTTGCAAAGGGAGGGAAGGTGGTCAGAGATTCTGCAGGGGAAAGGACTGACTACGCAACTGCCTGGGATCTAGCTTTAAGGGAACACTCCTAAACAGCAAATCATCTGATGGAACTTTTGGTAGGAGATATTAAAGGTAATTCATTATCAAGCTTTAGGACATTTCAAATTTTCTGGTTACTGTAGGATCTGTGGCAATAGCTCCTTCTTACCTTTTTCAATACAAGAACAAAAGAAAGCAAAGAGAAACAAAGCAAACAATCACTACTGTATCTGAAACTTAACGTTTGGTATTATGAAAAAACCAGTCTAGCATTTTCACAAAACCAGTTTTGACATAAAAATGAATGTTCAAATACTTCTGTTGGTTTAATGAAACTTGCTCAGCAATAAAGCAGAAACCAGCTGTAGTGGGAGGAGGGAAGGGAAAGATTTGTGTGTGTGTGTGTGTGTGTGTGTGTGTGTAAGGCAAGGAGAGACAGACTTGTAAGTAGACTTTTTATATTCGCAGTCAGGAAGCGATATAACGATAATCTTGAGGAGGGAGAATTCCAAAGGACAGAAAGAGGCTCAACATCTAGCATCATTATTAAAACAAATTCCAACTCAGCACATTTGGATTTTTACAAAAAAAAAAAAAAAAATCAAAGTGGCAAAAACCCATCTTTGCTTGAGTTCAATTATAGTTAAATCAATTCTACAGGTCTGGAGGTGATGGATTTTGTTTAACTTTATTGCTAGTATCTATGAACTGAGATATATTTCACTTTTTGTAACCCTAAAATGTTATATAAAATGTATTAATAATTTTCCTTAAAATTTCCAAGTGAAGGTGTTAAAAATGTATTATAGAGGAGATGAATGGATTAAAAGTTTTGCAAAGTTTAGCATTACACATGTATAAATACAACTTTAGGAATTCTAACCTTTTGTGCTTCTCTGTCAAAACAACCACATCCAAACACAACCAGCCAACAAAAACTCAGGAGGAAAAAAAAACTTAGTAAAAGGACTTGGGTATTAAGCTTATTATTTGTTTTGTTTTGTTTGATACTGGGAACTGAACTCAGAACCTTGTGCTTGTCAGGCAGGTGCTGTACTACTGAGCTAAATCCCTAGCCCTATAATCCAATTTTTAAAGGACTAAACAAGTATGGGAACTATGGATACAGAAAAGAATATAAATGTTATAACCCTGAGTTGGGAATTTAGCTCAGCGGCTAAGAGCTTGCTTGGTAAATGTGAGGTCCTGAGTTCAATGCCCAGTACCAAAAAAAAAAAAAAAGCTATAACCTCAATGAGCTAAAATGTAAAACTAAGTGACACAGAGAGGCTGGGGAGCAAGGGAGAGTGATGTGAATTTCCTTACTGATATGGCATTGTGCATACCATTAGAACCAAAATGTGTAAATATATAAACATTATTGTAATCTATTACAATTATTCAGACTTTTAAGTGATAGATTTATTAAAAAATAATATGGTAAAGAATTATTTATTTGAAATTTAGAAACTACTTTTATATAAGTTTTTTAGAAGGGACTGAATACTGTATTTTTAAAAGCAAGTACTATTTTCTAAAAGGATATCAACCTAGGAAGACAAAAATATCTAAAGTGATGTTCACCAAATGATGATGGTTAATTTTGGGTGATGGAATGAATATATTGTAATATTTTTTAAAAATCCTTCTGTGTAAATTCTCTGTACTGTATGATTTTAAAAAATGAATATGTATCATTTCATAGAAAAGTTTAACAAGTTTTTTAATAAAGAAAAGTCACATTTAGATACAAATGTGTTTGTTATGCACAATTTTTATATATATATATATATATATATATTTTTTTTTTTTTTTTTTTTTTTTTTTTTCATTTTCATTTTTATCGGTACCAGGGATCGAACTCACGACTGTCTGCTTTCAAGGCAGGCACTTATGTCGCTGAGCTAAATCCCCAGCCCCCACAATTTATATTTTAAAGAATTTTCAAACTTTGTGACCTTGAAAAATCCTTGACAAAAATGAGACATTTACCCATTTCATAACAGAAAGCTGAGATTTATCATTTTCATTGTAATATATACAGCTAAGTACTGACGATATATTAACTTTGCTCCTCTTCCAGAGATCCAGGTGATAGAAAGATGCCAGGTGGTATGATGTCAGAGGCCTGGGCCCAGAGGGGAGTGATGCCATGTTGTGACACAAGGTCACTTCTTAAAGCTACCGCAGAACTTAACTGTCAATCACTTCTCACTGTGGTTTCTGCTTTGCTGCTGTCACGCCCACCTGCGCCAGATACTTTGTATTCCTCTTTCAGTTTTATTTTCTTTCTTGGTGCATCTGGGATCTGTCACAACAGTGGTTCCAACCTTGCCAGCACACTGGAGTCATGCAGGGAGCTTTCAAACATACTGATGACTGAGTCCCAGCCCCAGAGACATTTGTTTAATGGATCTGGGTGCATTCTGAACAATGAGAGTTTTCGGAGTTCCCCAGGTGACTCTAATGTGTAGCCAAGGCTGGGAACCACTGTATCATGGTCTGCTGTAACCTTTTCTCAGCTCTCTGTCTCCCTAGTGGGCTCTGCTCGAGTTCTTCATGCTGACTTTCATCCACAGGGACGAGAAAGATGATAAATGACCACGTAGCCTAGCAGCTATATGGAATACACAAAGTATCAGTGCAGAGACACCAGGGACATCTAGTATTCACATACGTTACATTTTGTAGCATAGTTGATTGAATCTAAGAACACAAAGCCTTTTGTGAGAAGAAAGAGGCCAGATACTCCTCCTCATAATAGCATCAGGAGTCTTACACTCCTGGGAACACTGAAAAGTGATTAAAATCCAGCTGAATTAAACTCTGGTGGCTGAGAGGGCATTGGAAAATGGAATGAATTCCTAGTTTGAGAAGAGAACGGGCTTTTAAATGCTTAAGTAGTCACTCGCATACCTCTCGCTGCTGCTGGTTCAAATTATGAGAATTTCTCTGGCAAAGAGCAATCGTCTCTACCATGGTATCTTCAACATCCTTCAGTGAGGTGTCCTCTTTGGTATCTAGATTCACAAAGAGTACAAACATCATTAAGGATCTGTTACTGATAATCTCAAGAGTTTTTGGTGAAAAATTAAACTTTTTTCCTTAGTTTTTGACTTTATAATCATTCAGAAGATTTGATACAGAGGTTTAACAGATCTATGTAAATGTTTGGCCTTAAACATATACATAAAGCATACCACATTTAGCATCTGAATATGCCTTAGCCATGGGAATCATATATAGATTGGTTAGCAGAGATTGTCCACTGTCTTGCTCTGTCATCTCTATCTGTACTTCTTAAATGTAGTGATTTCCTCCAAGATATTCTTAGTCACTTTTCAGTTTTCCCTGATTGCAATCACTCTTGCAGTCCTAACCGTTGTGTTTTTGTTAAAAACTTTCAAATATATTTCAACCTTTATTTTGTTCACAATCTCCAGGTTGAATTTTCAAATGACCCTAAGACACAATGTCCAAGTGGGTATCCTGCAGGTGCTTTGAACTTTATGTGCCCAAAACCCAGTTTTACTCATTTAAAATCAGCTCCTCCCCTATATTCCAAGCTAAGGTAACAGAATCATCTTTAAGTCAAGCAGTTTATAATCTTCATCACCCTTGACGTGTCCTTCTCTTTAATTCCACCTACACAGGTGCTAATTTGTTGATTCTCCTTCCATGCACACGTGCTCACTACTTTCACTCCAGTGAGTTCTGTGTGCACACCTGTGCTCCTGCGACAGTCTGTTCACCGACTTCCAGACCTTGCTAGGGCTTCCTAAGGACAAATCCAAACCGAACACTTCCTTCCACAAAAACAATCAAAGATATCCAACTTTTAAACATGGAGTATGAGTGACCCTCTGGCCCTAAGAAACAGTAAGGATTTGGGTGCATTTTCTTGCCCTCTGGGCTCTGAACTGCCATATCACTTGCTACTCTCTGAGGTTCCTACCCAGGCACAATCCTCCTCAGCCTAGACGACCTTTACCCTGCTCTGTCTAATAAACTCCTCTTCCTCCTTTAGACTTAAAGGTCACACCACCTACAAAACTCTCTGACCCACTGGTTGCTACCAATAGTCTAATTTTCGCACTCTTTTGCCATTCTCACTGCAGAAAAATGTTCCCCTTGACTTGCTTTATTCATGTGTAAATGTAGATGTCTCCTTCATAAGACTGTAGTTTTTCAAGAAATGGGGGGCTGTGTTTTAGACATCTACATGTAGCCCAAAGGAACTAAGCACAATGTCTCAGAACTAGCAAATGCTTCAAAATTCTTAAGAATAGTGTGGAAATTGAACAGAAAGCAGATGGCTATTACTAGACTGGTTAGGAAACTATTAATGGGAAATGTATTTTCATTGGAATTTTAAAAATGGCTTTTCCTAGACATACCACCTACAGATCATTGTAGCAAATATGTCTCCTTATTTTTCTATCACGTTTTTATGTACTGTCTGCAAAATTATTCTCAGAACATTAGGTTTAAAAAGTAAAATGTCATAAAGTACAATAAATGTACTTAATTGGATATATACTGATGGTTCAAATGTAATAATTACATGTCTAGTTAGATTATCAATAAAGAAGTCAATCAAGTGTTTACCAAGGCTTCAAAAAAGATTCAGAGGGGCTGGGGATTTAGCTCAGCGGCATAAGCACCTGCCTTGTAAGCAGGCAGCCGTGAGTTTGATTCCTGGTACCGATAAAAACGAAAAAGACAAAAAAAAAAAAAAAAAAGATTCAGTATAATTCAAGGTGTTCAAGGTACAACACAGATTCTACTCTCTCTGACCTACTCATAAAAACATAGATTATCTAGAAAAAATTAGGGTAAAAGTGCATTAAAGGAACGCATGGGCCAAGGGATGAAAGAATAATGTGGTGTTAAAGTGGCAGGATAAACTAAAATCCACCTATCAAGGGACTTCCCTGACTTTCAGGCAAGCTATTTAGAAAATGTCATGGAATATTAAAGCAAACAACCTGACTCAAAAATGAACAAAGGACTTGAATAGACATTTCTCCAAAACAGATAAACGAATGGCCAAAAAGTGAAAATAAAAAGATGTTCAACATCATGATCATTAGAGAAATGCAAATCAAAACTACAAATGAGAATACTGTCTCACACCCTACAGGAGAGGCTGCCACTCCCGCTGCACTCACAGCTCCCCTTCCTAAGCCAGAAAATAGAATTGTCGGTGAGGACGCGGAGACCCTGCAAGCCCTATGCACTCCCAGTGGGAAGGTGAAATGGTACAGCTGCTATGGAAAACAGCATCTTGATTCCTCAAAAAGTGAAAAGTAAGGTTACCATTTGATCTAGCAATCTCACTTGATATATACCCCAAAGAAGTGAAACCAGGGCCTGAAGATGGTGTTTGTACACACTTGTTCATAACAGCATTCATCACAGTTAGCCAAACAGAGAGAGCAAAGTATGAATGGACGGAAAGAATGTAGTACCGCGTGCAATAGAAAATGACTCAGCCCCAAGAAGGAAATGCGGACGTTTTACATTTATGGGCCTAAAAGACGTTAGACTAAGTGAAATAAGACAGTAGCAAAAGAGCAAACACTGTATGGTTTCTCCACATGATCAAATGTAGGAAAGGAAAACACAGTGGAATGGTGGTTTCTGGAGGGAGGGGAGGGAGGAATGGGAAGCTGCTGCTTAACGGGTACAGATTTTCAACCTGAGGAGACACAAAACTGCGGGATAGATGGTAATAATGGTTGCTTCACAACATGAAGCTATGTAATGCCACTGAAGTGTATGCTTAAAAGTGGTGGATTTTATCTGACATATATTTTACAAGTTAGTTTTTAAAAAATTTCACATAACACCAAAACATTTATCTCTGTGTCAAAGGCACTCAAGATTCTGAATTGTTTAACTGCTTTGAGCTAAAATTGTACAAATTTAGTATAAAGACACTATTACTGATTAAAAGTTTTGATTTGCTACTATTTACCATATTATACTAATTTTTAGGATATTAATTATGTACCTCATTTACACACAACTAAATCACAAATAGAGAAATATACCCAAAACGATAATAAAGAACAATAAACAGTGTCTAATTTCCTGTACACTTAACTCCACTGACAGCACTACCAAGCCATGTCAGTTTAAATATGATTTCTTATTATGAACAACTGAAAACAAGCTAAAATTTACATCCATGTTAAAGAGGCTAAACGGCAATTATGGAGATCAACCAACGTAACTATTACTTTAATAAAGGCAGTTTACTGAACATCTTAAAAAACATGGAGTGTATGGAAGAAAAAACTTGTAAATTATATTCAAAAACTTACTTTCACCTTGATGTGTAATCTCTTGAAGTTTGCTTTGCAGTCTCTAGAAAGAACATAGGCGGTAACAAGGACACTTCGTATTTTTATTCAACACATACTTCAATTAACATATTTTAAAGCTAAACTCCCCAAATACCAAGGTTTTTAAGGATGTTTCTTTACTGTCATTCAGAAGTGAATGCTGTGTATGTTGCTAGCGGTATGGGAAGGGACCCAAAAGATCAAACATTACGTATGCTGCCCACATCTGTTACACCACTCATAGTCCTCACTGACAGCTTTCAGGCACAAAAATGAGGACGAGGATACATCCACCTTTCAGGTAAGGGTATAAAATTTACTAGATTATGAGAAAAAGAGGTAGACCAGGTAGGCAGGGACAGAAAGAGCTGACAAGTGTCTCCCTGCAACACAGGGCACAGATCTGGGTGTGATTTCTCCCAGATATGTAGCTGTGCCATCCACCACTCTACTGAATTATACATTGTTAGACGTCCTTCACTGGCACCAAGGCTTGTTATACATTTAAAGCTGCTATTTAATGTACCCCTCCCCTACCAAAACTTTGCTCCTTTACGAAGGGTCCTTTATAGACCAAAAATAACAGAATTTTAAGCTTGAATGACCATTCACTACTCTTTCTTGTTCATCTCATACCACAGTGAGATGACTCATAAATTCTGAAATAAACCTCCTACCCACAAGGTACTTGGGACTGGATCCAGGGCCTTCAAGCTGAGCTATACATCCTTACTTCTTTTTAAAATTTTTTATTTTGAGACAAGGACTCACACAGTTGCCCATGTGAGAGGCAAACTTTTGATCCTCCTGTTTCAGCCTCCCAAATGACTCACACCTGGACTATGGCAATGGGCTGCCAGGCACTCTGTGCATCTCATCCCCGTACCCCCACCTAACCTCCTACAGTCAACAGAGTTCTCTCCCTGAAACAAGCAAGGCAGTTCTTCTCTTCACAGTTCTTTAGCATGTCCTAAAGTCTGTGCAGATTTAGACATGGCTTTTGTTCCATCCACTGAGAGGCTGAGTCCTATGTAGTGCGGCTGGCACTCTGAATAGTCCACACTTCTTTGTATTCCCGAGACTTTTCAAGTAATGGCTGTATTCTTTGCCAAGACCTGCTCTCTCTCTCCCTATTCATACCAGGAATGCTGGTACTTCTCTTTTAATTCTAGCTTCATGGTATCACCACCACCAGCAGCAACAAAATTACAAGGAAAAAAGATGTGGGTTAACTTTCAAGTTAAATGAAATTAAGAGCCTACACAAATCCACTGAGCAGTATTCTTCCTGGGCTGTTTTAGAATCCTATGGCTACATCATAGAAGCTTATTTTTTACATAAGTAGGACATCCCTAATCTATTCCAAGCTGAATGACAATGTCAAAAAAGAAAAAGACAGAAAGACAAAAAGAAAAGAAAATGAAGGGAATTTCCCTCATGAACATGAAGCTTATGTTCTCCACCTTGGTTTGCATGTATTTGTCAAAAACTCTCCACACGGTACACTTAAAACTTATGTTTCTGTTGTATGTACATTTTGTTTTTAAAAAAAAGACCACAAAGAAACACTGAATTCTATTAAATGATAAGGATGATAAAAATGTTCCTGGGTAAAATGTACTTTTGTCTGTAACTTACTTTGAAACAAAAGAAATTAAGATGCCCTGATGAATGGATAGATAGATATAGGAGGAGACAAAGGCAGTAAAATGTTACCTCCAGCATTATTAAGAAGGCACCAGGAATGTCTCCTTTCTTTTGCAGTAGATAGGCAGTGACTTCATGGAGCTGATACTTTTGAGTGATCTAGGAATAATGAAAAGATAAATTATTCCTTCAAAAATCTTTAATACGAAGATCCCATTAAAGAAGAAAAAACCAGATATGATAATTAAGAATTCACACCTTAGGCTATTTTGCAGTACATCTGCACATATTTGATGTTCTGTTCTCACAGTGGACAATTAGTAGGTTTAAGTGGAGTAAATTCACTCAGATTTCACTTATTTCGTTTTTTAAAATTGTTATACACTTTAATATCCATTGGGGAGAAGCTAATGTATATAAATAATTGTAAGTTAGAAACTGACAATGTATAATTCTACATAATAAACTTAGAACAAAATAATTATGAAAACACTACATAATCTTATGGCATTTTAATAAAAATGAATAAACTAAGAATGAGTTAGGAAGTATCAAGTTAAAAGAAAATTGCAGAAAATGAAAGCAAATAATAAACGAGAGAAATTTAACAAATGTTAACATAGCTTCTTTGAATAGATGAATAAAACAGGAAAAAAACCTTCATAGAAGAGAGGCACAAATAACACATTCTCAGATTAATGAAAAAATGTGAATATCTCAATAAATGTAGAAAAGTATTTGGTACTAGGCAGCACCATTAATGACAAAAACAAAAACTCTTACTAAAAACTGGAAACAAACTTTCATTAATTTACAAAAAAGACTACCAAAACTCTATAATAAAAACTGTATTTAATGTAAAGAGTCAGACACACTCCTTTTCAAATCAGAAACAAGGCTAGAAGCATCTATTATTGCTTCTACTCTACAATATCCTAAAGGGCATCTTGTAAGAGAAAGGAAAAAATGTAAGATTGGAATAAAAAATTAAAACTGCCATTTTTCTTGGAAAATACTATTTTCATAAAAAAATCTAAAAACTAATTGAACTAAAAATGAGTTCAGTCTAATTGCCAAACAATACACATAACTTAGTCACACTCTAATACTGCAGTAGCAAACAATAAAAAAGTATCATTCTCAAAAATTTCCTTATAGAATGGACAGAGGACATATCAGACATTATACTGATAAGAACAGGTAAGAATTACACTTGATCTTACCCAAAAGGCCAAGAAGAGATTCCTTATAGAGTGGTAACAAAGACTATTAAGTATTTGGGAAAATTTTTAAGAAAACATTTACAAAACCCTTATATAAAAGTGATGAGCCAGGAGCACTGGCACATACCTGTAATCTCAGCTACTTGGCAAGCTGAGGCAGGAGGATCTCAAGTTCAAGGACAGTCTGGGTAACTTAAGTGAGACTTTGTCTTAAAATATAAAGGGTTGTGTGTGCAGGCCACCACTGGGACCTTTCTGTGGATAGTCAGCCTAGGCTGGGAGAAGCAGCAGCCTGCTTCTCCCCAACACAGGCCACCATTCAGACCCTTCTGTGGGTAGCCAGACCAAGCTGAGAGAAGCAGCCAAGCCTGTCCCTGTGAGCCCGATGGGAGCCATTGGGACCCTCCTGTGGGTAGCAAGCATGAGTCAGAAGAACCTCAGAGCAGCTGTGCATGTCTGGAGCAGCCACCCCATGCCCTACCACCTCCCCAGGTCAGGAGAAGCCCAGGTGCCTGACCCATTCCCCTACACTGTGGATGGGCAGCCAGTGTGGAAAGCACCTGGGACTCCACAACTGGCTCATCCAGAGGAAATTAGGAAAATGTCAAAACAAAAGAGCAAAAAGTAATCTCTGGCTTCCAACCCACACAGAACAAGTCCAGGAGCCCTGGCCATGGAAGAAATTGGAAGTCACACACCTGAAATTTCTGGGATGACGGCAACTGAAGTAAAGAATCTACCACATGAGGCTGTGAAAGAAATTGGATTAGAAACAATATCTCAGGTAGAAGAAGAAATGATGAACATAATGAAAGGGTTCCTGAGAATAAAGGAGACACAGATTAAAGATAAAAGGAGCGTATGAGAATAAGGAAAACCTAGAAAGAGAGACATAGGGAAGAACTGGAATGCATGAAACAGATTCAAAGAGATATCCAGGAAATTAGAAACTCCACCAAAAGCTGGCAAAACTGCTTGAATGAAACTGAAGACAGACTTTCAGAACCTGAAGACAGGATGGAGGCCAGTGATCACCAAGGGAAAGATCTCTTAAAAATAACAAGGGACTATGAAGTAACAATTCAGTGGCTCCAAGATGAGTCAAAGAAAAATAATTTAAGAGTGGTAGGTGTCAGTAAAGTAGCAGGGGTCAACACAAATGACATAAAAAGGCTATTTACAGAAGATTAGCAGAAAATTTCCCAAGCGTGGGAAAAGGACCTGATACACAGATAAGCAAGGCATATAGAACTCTAACTAGCCGTAACTTAAATAAATCTATATTCAGATATATAATAATCAAGATCCCAGAAATTCAACACAAGAATAGAATATTAAAAGCTGTTAAGAAAAGAAACAGATCACCTATAAATCCATCAGAATCATGCCAGAATTCTCAACACAAACCGTCCAGTCAAGAAGAGCTTGGAGTGAAGTATTTCAAGTCCTGAAAGAAAACAACTTCCAACCCAGATTGATGTACCCTGAAAAACTATATTTCAAAATTAATGGAGAAACAAAAGACTTCCATGACAAAGAAAAACTGAAGGAATTCAAGACCACCGAACCAATCCTACAAAGAGTATTAAAGGACATTCTAGAGAGATAAAATGGCCACAGTTCCAGGAACAGTGGCAGGGGGAGATTGTCGAGCAGGGCAGGCAATTGGGGAAAAGTAGGAAGCCAAACAGCAGGAAAATAGCAAGGCAGAGATAAGCAGGTGCATGCTGGCCATGTAGAGGGCCTCAATTCACCAATAAAAAGAAACACAAGCAGAGTGGATCAAGAAACAAGATCCATCAATGTGTGGTATAGAAGAAACACATTAACTCAAAAGGAAATTAACAGACTGAAAGTTAAAGGAGAGAAAACAATGCTCTATGCAGCAGGGAACCACAAAAAAGCAGGGCTAGCTTGCCCATCAACTGCAGAGTGGATAAGAAAGAAATGGCATTTTTATACAATGGAAAGCAACTCAGCTATAAAGAAAGATAATCACAAGGCTCTTTAGATAAATGGATACAACTTGAAATCATGCTCATGAGTGAAATGGTTTGGACTCACAGGGATGAACACTGTGTTGTCTCCTTGGTATAAAAACTGAAGGAGTTAGTGGAATCCAAAATGTACAGTAGATATTATAAAAGTGAAAGGGGAGGAAACATCTATAAAGGGAAATGGTAGACATTGTTAACTGTTAATTATAAAGCCTCACCAAAAGATATAGAAGGCATTTTTAAAAGGCAAATATATTTCTGAATTTAAAGAATCAATACCACAGAGATGTCATTTGTTTCTGTATTAATCTGTAAGTTCAATGTATTTTAAAAATCAAAATTCCAGAAGGTTTTTTTTTTTTTAAAAAGGAACTTGACTATGGGATCCTTATATTGATAAGAAATAGTAACAGGTCAAAAATAGCTAAAGTACTTTAAAGAATGAGAATGGTTTTCTCAACACTTATTGTAAAACTATATTAATTAAAATACATGGTATGAATATAGAAAAAGACAAAGAACCAAAGGAACTGATCAGAATCCATGAACTGATCCATGAATATTTGTGAGTTTCATATACTACACTATAACTTAAAATATCAGTGACAAACAATCATAAAATGCCACATGGACTATTAGCCATCATGTGGGAAAATGATATAAACCTCTCTTGATCAACTCACAAAAATAAATTCCAGATGGAATAAAACCCTAAAATGTAACAAAGCTAAACTATAAACTTACATAAGAGAAATTCTCTGTGTCATCAAAACAGGAATGGAAATAAGACACATGCACAGACTTAAACCTTACAGGAAACTACTGATAAATTAAAAAGAAGTTCCTAAAATTCAAGCAGAAAGACATGCCAGGATAGATCAATTGGAAGAAGGTATCTTCCAACATATAAAATCAAAGATGAGAGGACAGAAATTAGAACTAGAACTCAGAAAAAAGTAGGGAAAAAAAGCAATAGAAAACTGGCAAATTCTATGAACAGATAAAACAATCATTAAACATACGGAAAGATGGTCAGGATCAGAACTAATCAATGACACTGAACACTGTGGCAAAAACTAGAAGTATCAAGATGTCAGAAAAAAGCAAATTGCAAATGCTGCTGAAAAAAAATTTAGGAAATCAACGAGGCAATACAGTTTTAGAATTAAGCTACTCTCCTGCCTATATACAATTCATTTCTAGGTTTAGCACTCAAAGAAACCTCCAGTGAACACCCACAAAGACATGTATGAGAAACAAAAAGATATGTGCAAGCATGTTCACTGCTGCATTGTTTGTGATAGTAAAAGACAAGAAGGGTTCTAAATATCAGTAGAGAAACACACTGGCAGATGTACTTAATGAACTACTTTACAGTGGCGATAACCTCGGAAGAGGAAGGGGCACATAAAGTGTGCTTTATTGGCTTGTTTGTTTTATTGTGGTGCTGGCAGGTTGAAACTAGGGAGTACTGAGCTGTATCCACTCCCTTTCAATTTTTTTTTTTTTAAACTTGAAATATGGTCTTCTTATGTTGCCAAGGCTGACCTTAAACTTATGATCCTCCTTATTCAGCCTCCTAGGATTATAGGCAAGCACCACCTCACCAACCCCTCCCTCTGCCAAGATCGGAAGCCAGCCTGGCAACATGTCAACGCTGGTATTTTAATATTGTGTATATTTACAAATACTTAACATCGAGCCCAGCATGGTGGCGCATGCCTGTAATCCAAGCACTCAAAAAGGCTGAGACTGGAGGACTGTTGCAGGTTCAAGATCAGCCTGGGCTACAAAGTGAGTTTAAAGCCAACCTGAACTACATAGTGAGACACTGTCTCACAAAGACAAAACAGAACAAAGCAATTTACAATGTTTCATAATTAACCATCTTTAAAAAGTATGTGGGTAATTCAAGAAGTAGATAGTAGAAAATACAGGTTACTACTTGTTAATAACAAAAAAGGAGATACAAAGATACCCTTAAGATAAATTTTATTTATTTTTTATTTTTTTAAGATAAATTTTAAATGGAAATTATGGCCTGTTACAGTGGATCATACTTACAGAAGTGTGTGTACACTCACACATACACTGTCATACATTTTCATTCAGAAACAGGACAAACCAAAGCCAGAAAGCTGCTACTGGACTGGCCTTAGCCTGTTAAGTTTTATGGCTGCTCTTCTCCCGTGCAAGAAACACCGTAGTGTAGGAATCCAATCGCCATTCAAGCCACAGGAATTCCTCCAGACTGAGGAATGAACTAAGAGAAGGGGAGATCTTTATAGGGCCCTAAAGGGTGGACATGCAGGTGCTCAATGTGTAACTGACGACAGGATGAAGCTTGGCATTTCTGCCTTCAATTATTTTGTCTCTCTGATTGCCTTAAAACTTTGGGTTAGATCCCTGCTCAGCTCTGGACACAGGCATGTTAATCACTTAGGAATGTCTGTATTATAAGAGTTATTAGCCTTAAATTTATCCACTCTATCTCTTCCCCTTTAGGAATGAGAACACTAGGATAAGGGTAACTAAAGCGATACTTTGGATTTTCAGAACATTCAACTGTCAGCTTCACAATGTCCAGATCCCCTGGCATGCCTAGAAATCCAAAAATGCAAACTTAGAGGACCACCCCATGATGGGGTGACCTTCCCAAGTGGGAAGAACTAGCCCATGACAGGAACTGAGGCTTCTCTCTCCCAAATAAGAACTAAGAAGAACCAAACTGCCCCTCACACCACAGGGCTCCTCCAGAGCTACGAATGAAGCTGGAACCAAGATAATGACTGGTCAGTTCTTGATCTGTGTCAGCTGATCCATAAAAGGTGGCCTAATTTTATTTTATGTTTTTGGAAACAAGTCAGTCCAAAACTCTTCATCAGGGTGAGCTCCTTCCAGCTACTCCAGCCAGAGTCCATTCCTGTTCTCCCTTACTAGCTCTGCCTAACAAATCTGCCTGTGCCTCACACTGACACATTCCAGAGTTCTTTTCCTTGACAAGAGTCAAGAACCTACTAGCATTCTGAGCTGATGCTCCATTTCCTCTTTGGAGGACCTCCTTGGATCCTGTCTGGTGACAAATTTACCAGCAATTACTTCATGCACTATCAAGTCAGGCTATCAGATTCCAGCTGAGGCATGGAAAGTCAGCATTTGCAGGCACTCTCCCACATGAGTCTTCATCTGCGCACTAGAAAATGGAATATGTTTAGGACAAGTTTACTATTGTCTTCTAAACACTGCTGGCCTTACCTGAATGGTTTCTTCTAGGCGGTAGCACTCAAGGACTTGCAGTGTCTCTATAACTTGGTTTGGACTGAACTTACATAACAGCTCAATGAACTGCTCCATAATACTGGGAGATATTTGCAGTGATTCTTGACTTATATGAATACCTTCCCTGAAAACAAAAGGTAAGAATCCTAAATTGTATCATTATTCAATCAAACCTGCAATTCAAGAACTAGGTAACAGATATATTACATTAAAACTAACACAAAACTGTGAAAGTTAAGTCTCTCAATGTCACTTAGACTATTCAGGTAAACCACATCGTACATCAGAGGCATTTGAAACAGAAACATTCTTAAGGTTACATGAATAATTAAAGAAATGATATTCATTTGAGATTCTTCTAAGCCATGCCAGAGGTTTTTCTTTTCTCTAAAAGAAACAAGAAGGCCCGAGTTAAGTCTCCACAATCTGACCCATAAGTAACTATTCACAACAAACCACAGTCCAAGCTCAAACACCATCTCTGCCATCCTTCCCTTTCAGCAATGATTGTGTCACATTGTAATTACTTCTTTAATTATCTGTCTTCTCTAAAAGACTACAAACTTAGGGAGTACAGGCACCAAGTCGTCCCTTACTTATGAATTTTCAAAGTCAACTAGGCCTGGCAGGTGGCAGTCTTCCCCTGGTTCCTGGGACACAGATGTGGAAACCCCTGCATTCGCCATTGTGGTCTTTTCTTATAATGAAATGACGAGAGCTGGAGGCTTCAGGGTAACTTCTGGAATGGGGAGGTTAATTGCTGGGGGAACAATGTGATTAGAGAGCTGGAATTAACTTCCACCAATCTCCAGGGAAGAAGAAGGCTAAAAGTTGATCACCACTGGTCAATGAGTAATGAGGCATGGGTCCATAATAAACCTCCACAGAAACCTACAGGGGAAGAGGCTGGAGAGCTTCCAGATGAGAAGATTCCTGAGAGGGCGTGGGAGATCCCAGCCCTTGCTCATACCTTGTACTGCACATCTCTGACATCTAGTTGTCCTCTATGTGGACTGTGGCACTAACGCAGGCAGCAGTGTCAGAACTAGGTTTACCACAGGATGCCCAGTTGGTGTCCACCAAAAAATAGTTCACTTACTGTGTGAGGAAAATCCTCACACACACTTTGGTGGTCAAAACAGTTTGGATTTCCCTATATTGTCTCAGAGGGACAAAGTTGTATCTCAAGAAAACACCATCACATAACAGAAAATGTTAACCTCTGTGCCTCCATGTTCAGGCCAGCCCATGTACTTTACAGACTTCCACAGCTAGCTGGTGATGTCAGTATTTTATCTACCAGACTTCTGGTACTTTATGTCTTACAAATGTTAGACCACCGAGCAAATTAAGATTAGATATAGGCATCTTCCAATGGATCACAATACTTAACTCCTTTCAGACCATTTATTGACAAAACCATTTACAAGAATTGAAGATGAGAATATACACCAAATCAAGCAAATCACCCAAATGAATAGATTCTGATGTCCTAATTTATGAGGAAAATCATGTGTCGATGGGAAATGATCAGGAAACATCAACATAATCAAAACTTTAATAAATAAGCTGCACCACTAATGAATTTACATCCATTTCTGACTATTGCTTATCAGTCTTGCATATAAACATGGTTTGTTGTATGCATTTGCCAAAACTGTTTCTGTCAGTCTTCTATCAGCCACCTGCTGTGTGACAGACTCACTGCTAACATTAATCGCTGTCAAAATTATGTCTTTTAGGCCTACACTTTCTTTATGCTTTTGGGAACCTATTTTAATAACAGCATTTGTTATACAGATATAAACATCCCAGTGTATGAAACAGGGAGAATTTCACAAAGCATACATATTCTTTCTCTGTCAGTTTTAACAGTGTATGTGTACCTTGTAACACATGTATACCACATACCCTAAATTTCAGGGAGAAATATATATATATTCAGTTGGAAAATACATTTCCACATTACTCAGGTTGTGAAACTCATTTTAAATTATAAACTTGTACACTGGGCCATTTCTAGGAAAGAATAAAAATATATAATCAGTTTTGAGAAACTTACAATTAAAGTGATTTAAAACATTTTTTTTTCTTTTTTTTTTTTTGTCTTTTTCCTTTTTATCGGTACCAGGGATCGAACTCATGACTGCCTGCTTGCAAGGCAGGTGCTTATGCCGCTGAGCTAAATCCCCAACCTGTGATTTTAACATTTAAATCCTGACTTCTTAATATTTACTTGATAAAGGAAAAAATATGCTGGAATATGAAGAGGCAGGTCTATTTTCTCCTCCTTTCTCTCAAATCTACTAATAGGCCAGCCTGGAGCACTCTTCCGTATCTCTAAGGAAGAGGATTTCACCGTTTCTCTAGTACTCACTGTGACAATTTAGATCCACTACATCTTAGCCTAAATTTTATTTGCTTCTGTTCTCCACTTGTTTCCTTGTACGCAGGCCTTGGAGATATGGCGTATGACTACTCAGTACAGCACTTTCTCTTTTTCTCAGTACTGGGGTTTGAACTCAGTAAGCACTGAACTGCATTCCTCCGCTCTTTTTGTTTTTGTTTTTTATTTGAGTCAGAGTCTGTGTAAGTTGCCAAGTTGCCCAGGCTGCATTCAAATTTGCAGTCTTGCTGCACTGGCCTCCCAAAAATCTGGGATCACAGTGTGTGCCACCCTGCTTGGCACTGCTAGTACCATTTCAGACTGAGAATTCAGCTATCTCACAAAATATGAGAGTAAAGAAAGCTTTTTCTATAGTTTTCGTTCAAATCAAGATGGCTCACAGGCTGAACTTTGGGCTTTCTGCACACACTCTCCATTAGAAATGCAATAATGTTGTCTTGTGCCAATTGGGTAAGTGTACAATTTGCAAAAAGAATGCTATAAATGTGTGAATTACTGGTAGCAAAGACAACAGCTATAAAATTTGCATGAAACTATGAAATAAAACTAATAATGCCTACAACTTGACAATCAACTGATAGGTAGAAACCTGTCCCTTGGCGAGAAGGAATTAGTGGCATCTTTTGGTTCCTTGCCGTGACGATCACTCTGCTAGGAGTCCCTCAGCTAGGAAGAGCTGCAGCTGCAATTCCTTAACAGCTTTTATGAGCAGACAAGCACACCATTCTGTGTGACAGCAAAGGTTCTGCTACACCAAACCGATGTAATAGCACATCTAAGAGAGCTTGCTTTGAGGATTTGGTCATGTTCCATTTCCCTAGTTTGATTAATCAAGAGCCAGAATGTACTTCTTCAAATCTTAATAAAATTTTTATTGTTCCTCTGCTACTCAAGAAAAAGAAAATATCATTTTCATTGTTCTTCTATATGGACAGGAAGAATGGACTTCACAAGCTAATAGAAACAAAATCGTAATGATTTTAGTGATGGCAAGAGTTAGCTTCACAGTCCTTTTAGTCATAGACAATATCTGGATCATTCCAATGTTACATGGACTCCAATTAAAACTCCATAGAGGGGTTTGGGCTGCAGCTCAGGGTCTAATCCCCACTACCAAAACCAAAACACCTGTAAGGTAGCTAAAACAACTTTCCAGAGCTCTATGGTTAGTAGATAATAATTCTGCAGTCACCTTCACCATGTATATTCTTCCTAAGGTAAGGTTCTCTTTGTCACTAAAGTCTGCTAGTCATCTCACTAGCAAGGGCCGCCTGACCCAAGCTACAGAAAAACTGGACAGTACAAGGGACAGGCAACTTAGCATGATACCTACACTTACTTCCAACCTGATGCCCTTCTCTCTCCCAAGGGATAGATGGGATGGAAGAATGCATGCGAAGTGCTGTGACCCCACCATGGACACATTCTTTAAACATTTTCCAGATGCAGTTTCAGAACTGGTGTTGGGGTCGGCTACTGCATATCTATCAGAGTACAAAATAGCACATCTAAGTGTGACGACCACATACCACTGCTGTCTGGTCTACCATGTAAGTGCCTTGGAATTCACCCCTTGTTCACAACTAGAAAAGTGCTGCACAAGCTGAAAAACCACCAACCCTTCCTAGTTCTACCCAAGAATCAAAGGCAAGAGCAAAAACTACTGTCCTCTGAACTAGAGAGGCACTGAGTGAGGATTCAGAGCATCATAGCTTCCCAGAGCAGAAGCCCAAAAGAAGATACTACAGCTGTTCAAACCAGACTGGGGTGGGAAAATTTAAAATTGAAGCTATAAGTTCCTGGAGGTTTTCTGTTGACAAGTTTGAGAGTAAAAAAAAACCCCAGGGGGTCCTAATCCTAGGAGAGAAAAATACGCATGCAAAGATGAAGGCTGCGATTGACGTGCTTCCTCTACAAGCCAAGAGTGTCAGACTGCAGCATCTACTGAAGCGGCGCAGGTGGAGACTTCCTCACAGTCCTCGGTAGACACTGACCCTGCTAACGGCCCACTCTCATCCTTCTAGTGCCCAGCACTGTGACACAATCAATTATTGTGTTAAGTCACTTCGTTTGTGCCCTCTCATTGAGGTAGCCCTAGCAACTAATACAAGTGCCTCAAGGGAAACTGACCCGAGCCAGCAGACTAGGGTTTTACCAGAGTGTAACGGGGTTGCCTGGAGGGAAATAGAAGGCCACACAGCACACACTGTATCACCCAGAAGTGCTACTGTATCATCTGTGGTTGCACTTGGATGAGTTAGAAGTGTATACTACTAACTAAAGAGCAACTGCTGAGAAAGGTTTTTAAAAAGAGAAGTACAATTGATGTGGAGAGGAAAAAATGGATTTATATAAAATGCCCAATTAAAATCGTAGAATGAAGAATATAAGTAAAAGGAAGAAAAGAAACAAAGAACAAAGACAATGATTAAAAAACAGCATTATACATAACACAATAGTAGAAAGAATAGAATTTTAAATGCCAAAGTAAATCTTAAAATGTGTCCTTATTGAAATACAGAGAAATACGAGCATAGATAGATTTCTTTAAATAAAAATTAAGCCATTTTTGGGAAACTTTTTACAAGCCAGATTTCATTACATTTAAATTAATTTAAAATTTAAAAAGCAAAGAGCAAATTCTTCCAAAATATTAAGAATTGAGGGGCTGGAGGTTTAGCTCAGCAGCATAAGCGCCTGCCTTGTAAGCAGGCAGT